TTACATCAGAAAAGCTTTTTCTACATTTCGTTGTGTCGGTATCAAGTGTTCACAGACATGAAAGCTTCTTGTCCCGTGAAGAACATTTCTTTGTGTCTCTGGTTTTTCAATGTAGACAGGGTTAATGACTGAATATGACATTGCAAAAACATTTTCTCGAAACCATTGGCCTACAATAAATTTTCTAATGGAGGTTTGAAGAGGGGAGTCTTTGAGTTTTGGGAGTTTTACAGTAGATTTGAAATTAAGACAGGGAATAAATATAAATGACAAAAAGAAAGGTTTTTGACTGAAGGAGGGTTGAGTTTTCAAGGTCCAACTGAATCTCTTGTTTTTCTGTAGCGCTTTGTAAGAAACTTATGTACAGAGTGTATCCAGAAAAAGGAAGAAGAAATTTTTTCTCTAGAAAATTTGGGATAATGGAAAATGGTTGTGAGTGACTTCACAGTTCCTTCTTGAGAGAAAAAAAGAACTTGAGCCTTTCCTAATAAATGGCTGTTTAGTACTCTGTACAGTGAACATCAGTGAACTGTGCAATCTTGCGTTTTCTGCAACTATCAGCGTGTTTTCACCTTTGATGCTGAATTTTCAACTGGGGCCGTATATGAGAATCAAATTAAATTTTGATGAAAAAAGTCGTGGAGGATTACTGCTCTGGGTTTCAGTCTAGCCTCTGTTTTTTTTTTTTCTTTCAAAAAACTCTTTGTCCTCACTTTCAGTATTGACTTTTTGAGATAGAGGCGACATCTAGACACCAAATTGATGCTCTCAAAGGTTCGTTATTCACCTTCTCTCTTCCTTCAAATGCAGGTCACAGCAGAAACCAGCTGGTCAACAGCAGCAGAACAAAGGCCCACCGCCGACGGAATACCATGGCCCCATCCCAGCACACAAACGCTGCAAGGGCACTTGCGTCGGCTCCTTCTTCACGTTTTTGTGTGATAAAATCGACACGGAGTCCATTTGTCCGTCTGGTGGCCAGTGTTGCCTGACTAGGGAGAATATGGGGACTGGGCCAGGGCAGCAACAGCAGCAGCAGACTGGTGTGCAGAATAAGCCAAAACCCAACTGTCCCGGCAGGTGAGTTTTAGTGGGAAGAAAAAATTCTGGCTGTTCTTGTTGGTGGAGCATGGTCACAGTGACAGTCTCATTTCATTTGTCAAAGGGAAGCTTCAATTTTTGACACTGTTTTGATCATTGGGTTTATCGCATGAAAAGAATGTATTGAAATTGGCAATTTCAACAGCACTGAATTGTTCCCAAAATATGGGGCTATGCAAGTGAAAACAAAAATTTGGAATTGTTGAAACCCTGTTGGATCTATTTCAAAAATTTTCAAAACTTATGGACCTATGCTTGCGCTTTGAAGCACTGTTCCTCAAGCAGTGTTAGTCCCAAAAGTTCTGAGCTACAAGGCATTAAACAACAGTAAGGAGAAACTAGTGAAGGTTAAGTGTAAGTACAGTGAAACCCCCACATGCGGACACCTCAACCTGTGGACAATTTGACACAGGGTTGCTTATTTTCTCGTAAAAATTACTTTAAAAGGCTTAACACAAGGACACTGACTCAACATGGGGACATTTTGTGATAAAATTGCAAATACATTTCAGGCCAAATTACACAAAGTATATTTTTCCAACCCTGAAATTGATGTAGAACAAGTTCTTGGGCATTTCTTTCACCAATTTACCATCCATTTAGCTACTTTAAAAAAATTACCACCAGTATAGAGGGACTTCCTTCTCTCTTTTTCACTTGAATGTTATTTTTACAGGGAATGCCTACATTTCCATGTACTGTAAAGGGGTATCAGTATCCAATTCCCTAAA